AATGTTCTGTATCCCAAACTGGGAAACTCAATGGGTCAGACATGTACAGAGGGGTCATATGTGATCTTCTTTGTGTTCAGCCACAGGATGCACCCAGAGGTGCCGACAAACATGAATGGCAAGAGAATTTGGAGCTTGGTGTGAGCCAAGTGGGCTGCACGTTTTCAGTGAAGCATTGCTCTTAATGCTTATATTCTGAAGGACACCACACAGCTCCACTGTATCACCTCAAAAACATTGTTATGCAGCCACAATAAACAGCCATTTTCAGCAACAGATCCCCAGTCCTATGAGACTGAACACAGTTCCATCAAATAGTGTACTAAGGATTAGTCAAAGCCAGGCAACTAGAAAAACTCCTGTCATGCCCAAACCCATCAGATAACAGCATGCCATGAGCTGGCCATCTCTCTTGCACCAGCAGAGACCTCAAGGAGGTGACAATGGCAGAAACATTTCCATTTGACAGATAGTTTCCACCTCCCATTAATTCCCAGTCAGAAACACCCAGTGCTTGGAGGGAGCAGATGCTGCTCCCCACAACGTGCCTACAGGCTGCCTGCAGGCTCAGTGCAGCATCAGAGGGAGCATGGTCTGTCACACTGGGACTGAAAGATGCATGCACAAGTCATGTCTCCTGTTTCATTATCACATGGATACAGTACACTGAATTCCTTTATGCTTCCCAACACACTGGACTTTGAAGGTGCCTTATGTGAAATAATGATGAAAATTCATCCTTTGGGAAAATACAGTTTATTAACAGCTAAGATTATAACCCATCCCACAGGCCAGCTCAATACTGGAATAATGTACCAACCCAACGAGGGCTGAGCCTGGCCTTCGGGATGGTCACACCAACTCAAACCAGGCATTCTTGGAGCCATTCAGTGCAGCACCATTGTTTTACACATCTAACAGATCCAGACCTGCTGCAATCCCCCCACCAACCTGGAGATTCCTGGAGCAGGTTGTTCCAAGCAGCGCTGCAGCAGTTTTCTGTTTCTGGCTTGTTCTCATCCTCTCCCCAGCACATAGGGAGCTCAGAAGGGCTAAAGTGAAACTTCACCTTCCAGAACTGAAGGACTAAATAGTAGATCAGTAGGAGATGAAAACTGAGAACTGGAGAATATAAATACCAGTGGAAACTCCTTCCCAGTTCATGTGGGGCAGGGGAAGCAGCAGATGCCATCCTGATTTAACCATTTGCAGAGACTGATGAAGCATTTCCTCAGCAGTAGGAACAATAACCCACCACCCTGCACCATGCAAGCTGTGATACCACTCACCTACTGCTTATTTATTCCATTTAAAATGTGCACAAGACACTCACAGGCAGCTGTGTCACCATTTTCTCTGTACAGCAAACATTGTTTTTTTCAAGCTATAGACCTTAAGCCAAATTCATTTCAATGCCCAAACCTCTGGAATTCACATGTAACAAACCACACTGTTATCATCATCATCCTCTCCACTCCTCCATAAAGGAGGGGAGACTACAAGCATTGTTTCAGCTGGTTCCAGCCTCCCCCAGAGCAGGGAGGCATTTGTGCCTTTTTAGTACAAATGGCAACATCTCTGCCAGCCCAGGATGTAACTGCCTGTTCCGAGGGAAAAGAATGGACGCACAGAGTCACAGGAGCTTCCTCTCTGAAGAAATCACCTTTATTCAGAATACACAATGCTTTCCCAGTTACACAAGCCTAAAGATCAACAGGTTGGGCTTTGCTCCTTCACAAAGTAGTATTATTTACCTGAGGTGTGTGAAGCTCCAGCATGCCACCAAGGGAACCAGCACTGATAACGGGATTATGTGAGAGGATGAAGTGGAAAAACAGTGCTGCAAATACTCCACATTCTTCATGCACAGCCCATTCAACTGAACTGACCAGACCCTCCGAGGTTCATACAACAGACTCTGAACAATAGCTTGTCGACATTCAAGTGTCAGATCTCTTGGATTAAAAACAAGATACTCAGTATTCTGTTAACTTCCTCATGATCCTTCTCTTCTTTGATTCACCCCTCAGAGATCCAGGGAAAGAATACAGAGACTGTGTAAAGCGCTGTCTGCTCAGCGTCAAAAGAAGCATTTCAGACAACTGAGGAAAACATCCAGGTATTTGTTTTAACACTACTTACAAAATACCATACACCCACAGGCTTGAAAACCCTCCCATGGCACTAACTGTTGCAGCAAGAAAGCTTTAACAGCACATAAAAGGGTCACAGAAAGGACCCTACTACTGCTGGCATGATCCCATAGCACTCACCTTTCACTGACTCAGCCAGCTCCTCCTCACAGGTACAAAGGGTTGGTATCAACCCACTTGCCCTACCTGACAAAGGGATGGCAGCAGGACCCGACAGACCCGGGCAGTGTTCAGAGGCATGCAACAACGTGTGCCTTCTGCTGGTTTGTCACCACAACTCCCATGGAAAACTGCAGTTTCAAAGAGTCACAGAATTACCGGATGGTTTGGGTTGGAAGAGACCTTAAAGCCCATCCACTTCTAACCCCCTGCACAGGGGGGGACACCTTCCACTAGAGCAGGTTGCTCCAAGCCCCATCCAACCTGGCCTTGAACACTGCCAGGAATGAGCTTTAAGATCCCTTCCAACCCAAACCACTCTATGAGTCCATCAATGTAAAATACTGCTGATAAAACTATGAGTAACCACCCAGTAGCAGCATTTTAAAAGGAAGTGATTACCAGGAATACTTGGATCAAGAATTACTCCTGACTTGGATGATCTCACAGGGAGGATTGGGATGCCTGACTACAGATGAAAAGCTTCAAGCAAAGCTTCTGTTGAACTGCAGCAATATCTCATTGCATGCATTGGGGTCCCAGTTACAGCTTGAAAGGCTAGCTTCAGTTACAAAGAACTACGTATTCTTGGCAGTAAACACTAACTACTTTGTACCTTGGGTAGCTCTGTACAGCACTTGTAAATTAGCACAGACTTTTGATCCCACTGTGAAAATTGTCTCACTGTTGAAGGGAATGTGTGAGTTATAACAGATACCTCTCCCAAACAGTATTATTATATACAGTGACTCAGAGACAAGCTGTATATATATTATGGACACAACTCAGAGACAGATCAAGACACACACAGTCAATAAGGGGGAACCCACCACTGCACCATTAAAGGATTTCCCAATCTCTATTTCTCTTTCCCAAGTCAGAAAGCTAGCAGTTCTCCCTTTGCAAATAAATCACTCATAAGGGATGGGACAGGGGAAAACATGCTGGCCAGGATGTGAGGGCTCCCAGCTCTGCTAAAAATCCCTCATTCTTCTGACTTACAGCAGAAAACAGTTGCTTAGTACCCAGTGCCCTTTTTAAGGTGACTGTTGATGCAGATTCTCATTGGGTTCATGAAACCCAGCCAGCTGAAGGGATTCACCACTCACACTAATCAGCCAGAAGGTAAAAAGAGAAACACAGTAGTGTAACAAACCTTACATCTCTAAAGCTGGGCTTGGGCACCAGAAGCTTTTACTCATCGAGGTCAGAGTCGTCAACAATGAACACTCAAGGCAAAGAGAAGAGCAAACGTACAGCTCCAACCACACAGACCATGTCCCTCCCTGAGCAAGCTGAGGACATATGGCAGGATCAAACGCATCTGTGGTGGGCACTGCCCCTACTACAGCAGTTATCACCTGCATCACAGGGAAGCCTCAACCCTGAAGTGGGAAAGTATCCATCTTTTTTCTTTAGTTTCCCCTCTCAATGGTTTACAAACATGAAAAACTATTTTGTGACTTTTTAACTTCCTGAATTCTTCTCCTCAGTAGCTTCTGTGCTGCTTTTACAGCTACTTTTTATTGTGAGATTTAGGCATAACAAGATTGTCTCAAGACAAACCCTCCCCATTTCCATCTGTATTTGGCATCTGCGGTCTCAGCAGACTCTCAGCTCAGGACAGATGAAGCCCACAGGTTAGAGATCACCGCATCCAGGGCAAAGAACGGCAGTGGGAAGGACTCTCAGCAGGGTGAATACTGCCAGCAGACCGCAGGCAGTGGCACAGTGAAGAGCTGCAGTGAGCCCGTGCAGGATGGGCTCACCACACCAAACCCTGCTGGGCTCAGCGACTGAAATCCAGGTACTGCCAGGGCGTGCAAACACAAACGGGTCAGGTACAGACAAGGAAGACTTAAGCAGGCTAATTCATGTGCAGTGAGGATGCTGCTCCTAATTAGATTACCAAACCAGCAATTTAACTTGCCCTGCTCCCTCCTGTGACCGCCGCGGAGTCGAGATGAGCCCCAAGCCTCAAAACGCGGATCTATACCACAAACACCGCCCAGAGGCATCAGCAGACCCTGCGATCCACGTGGGACCACCGTTTTGAAGCAGCAAAGTACTCTCAAACGGAGCCCACACACGATTTCTACAGATTACCTAAGTACAGAGGACAGGGAAGATGCTTCTTTTAACGTCCGTTTGCAGTACGCGACCTCTTGGGCACATGTGAAGACACACCGGCAGGCGCGATCGGAGCCCCGTGTCCTCTGCCCGAACAAAACTCCACTTGAAATAGCTTTAACCTAGAACTCAGGGCACAGGGACTACTGCAAGTAACAGAGAGCGGAGAAACGGAAGGGAAGCAAAGCGCGCAGGCAACATCAGTAGCAGGGAGGGAGAGCCCTTTCCCAGCCCGGCCCCCCATGTCCATGTCTATGCCCCTTCCCCCAACCCCTGCTGCAGCATCACCCCACAGGGGAGCCGGACCGCAGAGAACTCCCAAGAGACAGAAAAGGAACCGGCTCCCACGGTGCCTCCTGCGGCGAGCGCGAACCAAGCCGCCTGCGCACACCCAAGAACCAAGCTCTGCGCCGGCGCCGCGGGGCCGACCCGGGTTAAAAGCTCGCTCCCGCCCGCCCCGCCTCTCCCCGCCCGGCTCTTCCGGGTCGGGCGCACGGGAGCCGCCTCGGGCTCTGGTTATAGCAGCGACAGCGGTAGGGCGGGGTTCCTGTCCCGGTCCCTGCTCCCCGCTCCGCCCGGGCAGCGCGGCCATGCCGGTGGCGGGTGAGCGGAGCACGGCGCGGCGGGAGGCCACGGAGCGACGGCTGGCGCGGTTCGCGGCGCTCCGAGGTGGGAAGCGGCGGGGGCGGGGGCCGCGGATCGGGGCTCCCGGGGCAGGTGCCTCCGGCCCGGCCGCGCTGACTGAGGCGCTGCCGCTCTGCCCGCAGGGACGCCCGCTCCCCCCGGCGGGTTCTGGGACGTGGTGGCGCTGACGGCCGCGGACGCGGGGCAGGCGCTCGCCTACCGGGAGCAGCTGGAGGCGAAGCTGCGCAGGAGGGAGCTGCCGCTGGGGCCGCGGTACCTCGTGTTCGCCGACCCGCCCGGACGCAAGGCCGGTGGGTACCGGTCACTGCCGTGGCAACGGCGGGGGGAGCGCAGCGCTGGTGCGGGGCATGGCGGGGAGCGGCCGATGGGTCCGGCTGCGCAGCACAGCGACTGTGAGGCTGCTGCGCGGGTGTGCGGTTCCTGGTGCGCTGGTTTGATGCGCTGATACCCATGTAATACAATGCTGTGCTTCCCTGCAGTCAGGCAGAAGCGGGCTTTGTGCTGCTGTCCTGTGTCACCTGCTTCCTGCAGAGCACGGGCTCCAAAGTGCTGCACAAGTATTCATTAAACCCCAAGTGTAGGGTCTAATGCCATTAAATACGGTGTAGCTTTGATTCAGTTGTGCAGCTGCTGTCACCAGGGGTGGCTGCGTTTGTCACTTTCATTTTGGCCATGGCACTTCCCGGTGTAATACATGGGGGCCCTGCGAGGGTGGTGTGAATGTTGATGCACTGCGTGGCTCTGCCGCGTGGACCATATGGAATAGGAGTAATGCTAACTCATGCTTTTTATAAGTTAGTGCTGTTTACTTTAACCTCACTGCTTAACTAATTTGAGTATCACAGAATCCCAGCCTGGTTTGGGTTGGAAGGGACCTTAAAGCTTCTCCAGCTCCAACCCCTGCTACGGGCAGGGACCCCTTCCACTGGAGCAGCTTGCTCCAAGCCCCTGTGTCCAACCTGGCCTTGAACACTGCCAGGGATGGGGCAGCCACAGCTTCTCTGGGCACCCTGTGCCAGCGCCTCAGCACCCTCACAGGGAGGAGCATGTTTTAGTATTTCACCTGATGTGCAGCCAAAGCCTAGAAGAAAGTATCCTGAGTGTCCATAACATCACCCTGTAGCTCTTCATTCCTGCTCACTTTGCTGTAGAAAGTAACTGATCTCAGCAGTCTTTCCGCAGTGTGGAGTAACAGAGATTGATTTTCAGAAATCTACCAATTTGAAGTTCTAAGAGGACATAAAAATATCCCAAACTATTTCCTCATATCCCAAACATTTTTCCTCATATCCATATTGCAAAAGTCAGCAGTGTTGGAGTTGTGGCTGGGTCGTGCCCAGTGCTGAGGGAGCTCAGAGGGTGGCTGGCAGGGAAAGCATCCAACTTTCTGGCAGGTACGAAACTGTTTATTCTGTAGGAAATGGTGGATCAACTCTCCATGTTCTTCAGTGCCTGGAAGACCTGTGTGGTGACAACTGGACATCCTTTACTGTGCTGCTCATTCACTCTGGTAAATTCCAGTTTACATTTCTCACTACAATGGTACACGATTTGGTTACTATATTAACACGTGCTCTTCCCTGTGAGGGTGCTGAGGCGCTGGCACAGGGTGCCCAGAGAAGCTGTGGCTGCCCCATCCCTGGCAGTGCTCAAGGCCAGGTTGGACACAGGGGCTTGGAGCAAGCTGCTCCAGTGGAAGGGGTCCCTGCCTGTGGCAGGGGTTGGAGCTGGAGGAGCTTTGAGGTCTCTTCCAACCCAAACCAGTCTGGGATTCTGTGATCCATTTGAGTTTACATTGGTAGTTGGGAGGTACTGCTGTCACCTGAGCATTTCTTCTCAGCTTTTGCATTGTTCTGTCAGACCATGGAGGAAGGAGCGTAATTATCATAGAATCATAGACTAGCTAGGGCAAGTGTCTGAGTTCAGCTGCTGCCCTGAAATACCCCGTAAGGAACATGTTGCCCCCTTGGGAGGGACCTAGGGGCCCTCAGTACTAAGGGCAGGTGGAGCACTCACTGCCTTATCCCACTAGAGCACTTCCAAAAGGGGCATCCGTTTTGCAGAGTGGAAGGGAGCCAGGTAACAACCTGTCCCCTGCCCAAACTGCTGCTGCTTTGCCTCAGCTCTGGCTTAAAATTCCCAGTGGGGGTGGGGGTCCTCCTTATTCTCAAGCTAAAATCAAGCATCTGCTTGCTTCGCTTGAGTTACAGACAAGGGGCCCGTGTTCCAGAATGGAACACACCACCATTTTAACAGAAGTTATTTACAGTGTGTTAAGCTGTGGGCATCAGGTCACATCTGCTTTGAGAAATGCTTGAAGAATGACTGATGTATTTGTTCATCTGTCATTGGTTTTGGTGCATACTCAGTATATGACCAAGCTCATAAAATACTCATAAAACAGCTGCAAAGGTTTAGCTTTTGCTCATGTACCAGTGTCTCTGTATAACTAAAACTGTGCTTTTCCTCAAGGCGGTTACAGTCAGCGTTTGCCCAATGCAAGTGCCCTGGGAAAGGCATTCACAGCTCTGCCATTGGGTGATCCCATGTACCAGATGCTGGACCTGAAGCTGGCCATGTACATCGACTTCCCCAGCCACATGAAGCCGGGCGTTCTCGTTACGTGTGCGGATGACATCGAGCTGTACAGCACTGGAGTTACGGAGACAGTCACCTTTGATAAGCCTGGATTCACTGCCTTGGCTCACCCTTCGGACCTGGCGGTGGGGACCACTCATGGAGTGTTTGTTTTAGATCCAGCCAGTTTCTCAGGAAAGGGAGGACTCGAATACACATCTTGCCATCGCTTCCTGCACAAACCTACTGTTGAGACCATGCGGCAGTGCGGGGCCGTGTGCGTGAGAGGGAGCGGTTCTCTGCCAGCTGCCCCTGGAGACCGCAGGGGCTCGGAAAGGGGCTCTGAGTGTGTGTACACAGACAGTATATTTTACATGGACCATAGCACTGCGAAGCGACTGCTGGCATTTTACAAGCAGATGGGCACTCTTTGCTGTGAAATAGATGCTTATGGTGACTTCCTGCAGGCCCTGGGACCTGGAGCCACGCAAGACTACACGACAAACACAAGCAGCATCACAAAAGAGGGATCACAGTTGATAGAGGTGCGGCAGAAACTGTACTCTCTCCTCAAAGGAACTGCACTTAATGTTGTAGTCTTGAACAACTCCAAGTTCTACCACATTGGAACTACTGAGGAGTATTTGTTCCATTTTACATCTGACAGCAAACTGAAGTCTGAGCTTGGCTTGCTGCCTGTGGCCTTCAGCATCTTTCCTGACAGGGCCTTGGCTCAAACAGCAAGTGTCATGCACAGCATTCTGGAGCCAGGATGTCTCATAGGACCTGGATCCGTCATCGAGTACTCCAGGATTGGGCCTGAGGTCTCTGTAGGGGAGGGCAGCATTATCAGTGGGTCGGATATAAGTGGGAAAGTAGAGGTTCCCTCACACTGCTTTCTGAGCTCCCTGAGTGTAGAAGGTGACCGTGAGGTGCAGTATGTGAGCATGGTGTTTGGTGTGCAGGACGACTTGAAGAAGAGCGTGAAGGTGCTGTCCGACCTCGGTGCCCTGCGGTTTTGTGGGGTCAGCTTGCCGCAGTGCCTGGAGCTCTGGGGTGTGCAGGTGTCGGAGCAGCTCTTCTCCAGCGAGAGCACAGGCTTGAGCTTGTGGACCGCGAGGCTCTTCCCTGTCTGCTCCACGCTGAGGGAATCGGTCCTCCTGTCGCTGCAGATGGTGCGTGCCGTGCAGCACGCGTCACGTCTCACATTGCACGGGCTCCGGTGCTTGTCTGTGCAGGAGATGCTCAGGTGCAAAGAGGTCGGGGACATGATGAAGTTCAGGAAGCAAATTTATGATGAAATCCATCTACGAAGGCAAAAAGAGAAGTGTGATCTGTAGAACAAGCAGTGCTTGAGGAAATGCCCTGTGTTGGTGTGAGCGTGGTTGGTACTGCCCAGCTTGTGAAAGTCGTCAGAGAAAAGCACACAGGTCTTGTCTGTGGTTTCTTTAGAGGAGGAAGTGTGAACCTGCATTAGCAGCAGTGTAGCATGACACGAATGATGCGGCGAGTGCAGATGAACTGTTCTTTTGATGAGAGGAGTACTGAACTGTTTCAGATCTCTGCAGACTCTGATGGGTGACTTCTCCTGGTTGCTGTGTTCTATGGCCGTTGCAGAAGGTGCGTGGTACAGAGCAGAGTCATGGAAATTTCACTGGCAACTGCTGTAGAACCTTTTCAGCATAGGCTTAGCTGCAGCAGCACAGTGTGATGTAGCAATAACTCGAGTTTCTCTCCTTTCACCCGACTCTGCAGTGATGTGTCAGATGGGTACAGGTACACTTATTAAAACTACTTTTTAAATCCAGCCATCCTGTCTTTAGCATTAATCATTTTCTTTCTCGTGTTGTGATTTTTCTCCTTTGGTTTCATCAGAGGAAAAAGCTTTGCATGGGGGATGGTTTTTTCCTTTGGGACTGATAACACTGGGATTAAAACTTTTGAGTCCTTGGAGAAGAACTTCAACAAATGTCCATGGAGCCGCAGGTAGCGCAGATTTGCCCATTGATGCTCAGTGCTCACACAGACCAGTGGAGCAGAGGACAGAGGCTCAATGGTGTGATGGTACTGCAACACACCTGCAGAGAGCACAGGGGGTCTGTTCTCTCATCCACTTCTCCACCCATCACTAATTAAATGTCCTCTTGCCCCTGGTTGAGGTGCCAGAGATCCAGCTGCAGACTGGTGAGTGTGGTTTCTGTGCTCGCTCTTCTGGCCATTTCACGCGGGGTTTCAGAACGTGCCGTGTGTTCCATCGATGCAGTTTGAGTGCAGACACAGCACATCTTCCTCTTGCATTCATGTGTGGGCTTTCATGTTTTACTGAAACACTGTTTGTGTGTACCAGTGTTTGTCTCCTGCTGACTGAATTCCTGAATGGCACCTTTCGTGTGCCACCTGCCAGGTAGCAGTGCAGGATCTCCTGAATCTCACCCAAGCTGGTTTAGCCTTCATCAGGTTCCTTCCTCACTAGTAAACAGAGGAAGACATAGGATTTTTCCTGAGCAAGAAGGAGCACAGAGGAGCAAGTCATGGAGGTTGGGAATTGCTGAGGTTGACCTCAAAGGGCTAAGGAGAGTTCCTGAGCAAATAGAGGTTTTAGAAGTCATTCTAAAGTACCAGTTTAACAATGGGAAGAGCAGCAGGTTTGAGAGCACTGAGGTTCAAGGCATTTGCCTAAAGTCACAAAGTAAAAACAGCCATAGAACCCAGAGCATGAAGTTGTGGTTTGTTTATTAACCCATCTGCAGAACCTGTGTTAACACATGCAGCACATCTTGGGGCAAGCAAACATTTGGTACAGGTTTTGCATTTTCAGCTGGAGACCAGACTGCTCTGAGAACACTTCCCTGGCGATGGCATTGCTGCCTGGGAAGGTTTCTGGATGTTCAGTGCCAATGCATCCATTTAACATGATTATTCACTTTTACTGTTACAGTTGTATTTACTCCGCATTCCCGGAGTCCCACGTGCGGGTTTCAGAGCTGCAGGCGGTCTGGTGTAAGGAGAAAATGGGTTTGCTTCTGAGACCTAAGTAATGGGGAAAAAGGAAGAAGAAAGGCAGTCCATGGAGGGCACAAGGAGAGGGAACAGGTACGTCTTAGAGTGTTTCAGAGTTCCTGGTGTGCTGCTCCTCTGCCTGTCCTGCCCAGGGCTGCTCCAACCTGCAGACCCAGCTGCATCTGGGGTGGGTCAGAAGCAGGAACTCGTGCCCCTGCAGGCAGTGGTGTCATCTGGGATGTTCTGTTCTTTGTGTCCTTCCTTAACCCTGCCCGGTGCTGGAATGACCCAAGTTCCTGTGAAGTGGTGGGTGTTGCACCAGCATTCTGCCCTGTGAGGGTGCTGAGGGTGCCCAGAGAAGCTGTGGCTGCCCCATCCCTGGCAGTGCTCAAGGCCAGGTTGGACACAGGGGCTTGGAGCAAGCTGCTCCAGTGGAAGGGGTCCCTGCCTGTGGCAGGGGTTGGGGCTGAAGGAGCTTTATGCTCCCTTCCAACACAAGCCAGGCTGGGATTCTGTGATTTGTATGTATCCTTGATGACACATTTGAAAAACAATGTCTATTTAGGCGCTGGGTAAACCTTTTGCAGTGATTTATGAAGTGTGTGTGGTTTTCAGCTATAGCAAGTTGAAGCCCTTGCAAGAAGGGCTATGTTACAGTGTGATCAAATCTCACTAAAACCAGACGGAATTCAGCCTGGATGCTTCCTGAGGGCGATGATCTCAGTTGATGTACACAGTATCTGTATGTATCCTATTCATGTACATTGTACAAACTTCAGCCCATCTTTTTCACAGTGTGCTGTGAAGGTCGGTGATAACAATTTTCTCATGCAACCAGCTGGGATAAACTTGTTCCAGGGGAATTGAGAGACTTGTGCAAGCCCATGCAGTGAAATCTAGCAGCAGGGTAATAGTAATTATGGGGCTACTGGTTTCTGGTACCAGATTCTGATTTGTGGCATTCTGGTCCAGGTTTTCCCTGAGCAATAAAGGATGCAGTGCTCAAAGTGCCCATCAGGCCAGAGCAGGAGGAGCGGGAGCATCTGTTTGAAATCTGGAGTCTTGACTTTGCCAAGGCTCCTGAGGTTCCTGGCTGGACACAGCTCCCATGCAGGCCTCTAGGTCCCTGCCTGCCTCCATCTCTCCTGAAATGCGTCTCCGGCTGGTACAATCTCAGGTAAACCAAGGTGAGTGTTTAATGATTTTATTCATGTCAGCTTGCTTTATGTAATTAGGTTTGCTGTGTAGTGCAGTAATGGGCCTCATCATGAGCATTGTCAAATCATTTCCCTGAATGCTTTGGGAGCATGCCCTAAGGGACAGGGATGTAGCCTTTCTGTGTGTGTTACACCGTGCAGCTGGGGAGGATTCTTGCAGTCACCATTTGGGCAGGAAACTGAAATCTGAGAATTGAGGCCCTTAAAGAGGAGAAGGAGGGAGGTGTCTGGGATCAGAGCGAGCAGCTGGGAGCATCTGTGCCAGGGGGACCTGCGGAGCTGATGGAGGAAGGTGAGCGCCAGCAACCACCCGGATCTGCCCGGGAGCATCCCTGTGCTGGACGGGCAGTTTGCCTGGGCTGAGCTCCCTGGTTCAGCCTCTGCTTGTTCCTAAATCCCTGGTGCAGCAGCTTCACACTCTGCTCCCTGCACGTGTGGAACATGAGTCCTTGTGGAACATGAGTCCCTGTGGAGCATGAGTCCTTGTGGAACATGAGTCCCTGTGGAGCATGAGTCCTTGTGGAACATGAGTCCCTGTGCAAATGCCCCTGCAGAGTTGTTAGAGCAGAACCAGCAGCATTACCCTCTGCACTCCTTTTAACCCTCTCCCAGAGAAGCCATGGAACCACCTGCTCCTTATCCGGGATACAGAATTCCTCAAACTTCATGTCCATTAAGGTGCCTTTTTCATTTGATGTGACAGGTCAGAATGTCACCAGAATGACATGGAAATGTACAGGAGCAGCTTCCAGCCTCCCAAAGGGAATGTCAGGTATGGATATCTTCTAACCAGCCGGACATAAAGACCACTGCAAAAGGCTTGATCCTGTAAAGCCTTCCTGTGGAGGATGCTGGAACTCAGAGGTAGAAAGGAGCCCTTGACACGTTCCTCTTGCAGGGTTGGACGTGCCAGCGGCATGTGCCAGGCACTCATAGAGCTCAGTGCTGTGTGACCGCTGCAGCTGGGGCTCTGCTCACTGAGGAGCGCTGCTCTGCCGCTGCAGTGCTGCCAGTGCAGATGTGAACTGGAACTGGCCCAACAGAGCAGTTGTTCCATTCCTCTGTTTGCAAACACTGCGAACAGGCTCTGCAATTGCTCCTTTTGTCCTCTTTTCCCCCCCGATCTCAGTTATTCCGCAGCTGCCTCACAGCTGGGATGTGGATGTGCAGAATTCACCTGGAAGCTGCTTTCGTGGTGTTGGACTGGCTCTGGTGACTGACCGGATGATCCTCCTGTGCTGCAGCTTCCAGAGCTCTCCCTGAGAGTCCATAGGAATCAATCTTCACCCACACAAATGTGTGCAAAAGAGTGAGAAAAATACAGCGTAAAACTGATGACTTTTTTGATGTTCTTGAAGCAGATGTACTAGAATATAAACAATATGCAAGGTATTTGCTGCTTTTAAAGTATATAATTTTATCTCTATCTCATGGAAATTTATGTACTTACAAAGTTGCTGTATTAAAATGTGTTTTCTGTGCAAAAGTGAACAGAACTTTTCCTGGGGCTTGGGGTCTGTCCTGTCCCTGTCGTGATTTGCTTGGTCTGACTGGGAGAAAATTCTGTTCCTCAGGCACCCAGCAGCACCACAATCTGTTTTGTCACTTCCAGCTGGTTTTTTTCCTGGCATTTCACAGAATCCCGGCCTGGTTTGTGTTGGAAGGGACCTCAAAGCTCCTCCAGCTCCAACCCCTGCCATGGGCAGGGACCCCTTCCACTGGAGCAGCTTGCTCCAAGCCCCTGTGTCCAACCTGGCCTTGAGCACTGCCAGGGATGGGGCAGCCACAGCTTCTCTGGGCACCCTGTGCCAGCACCTCAGCACCCTCACAGGGAAGAGCTTCTGCCTAAGAGCTCAGCTCAGGCTCCCCTCGGGCAGGTTCAAGCCATTCCCCTTGGCCTGTCCCTACAGGCCCTTGTCCCAAGCCCCTCTCCAGGTTTCCTGCAGCCCCTTTAGGCACTATAAGGAAAACAAGCAGTGTTTGGCTAATGACAGCAGTGGGAGAGGAGATACCTGCCTGGGTGCTGCATCCATTGCTTGAGTGCGCATCACCAGTGAAGTTGGTTGCTTGGCAACTGGACTTGGAGGATTCGTCACCAGGCTGGTTCCCTTCTTGAAAATATTTGGTTGAATGTCACAGGGTGTGCTGTCAAAGCAGGTCAGAGTCTTCTGAAACATGTCCTGGCTTAATGGGCAGATCAGTGCAAATAAAGGGATGAGCCTGTGCTGTGCCAGGAGCTCTCAGGGTGCAGGTTTGTTTGCAGGGGGATGCAGCGTGGTGAGGATGTGTGTGTGTGTGTGAGTTACATCAAGTTATCTTCTTGCCTGAAATCCTTCGCTGAGAA